TTTTTTTTTTTTTTAGGAATAAAACCCAAATCTATCACTGAAGCTTTTTTGTTATCTGACATTAAATACCTAGTAGTTAGGTTTCCTACAAGTTAGTCCAGATTTTGTTCTTTAATAAGATACCTTTTACACATTGAACGTTACATTTCTTTCCTGTATCCAAATCCAATATCCATGTCCAAAATATCCAAAACATTGCCATATGAAGCCTTTGTATTGCTAGCACAACTTTATAGTTCTTAATGTCTATTTGATTAATATATAAATTAAAAAAATAAAATCTATTAATCTGTCACTGTAAGTAGGTCCCCATATTTTTAATTATTTCTCCTTCCTGGAACAAGGTTTAAGGGCTAAATTTTCTTTTAATACCCACAGGCCATCTCCATTGACTTAAATAGATTCATTACTCTGATACCAATAATGAATACAATTCCAAGAATGGAGCCTGTTAACTGTATTAGGGTTCTGAGCTTTGATATGTTTAGTGTATTATTCTCTCTTTTTCTCTCTGTATTAAAAAAGTCAAAACACTGAAGGTGACAGCAAATACATTTGGCTTCAGGAGAACTGAACAATATACAATTCATCCAATTTTTTTTTGGGCCGCAATAAAGACAATTTGTTTTTTACAGATAGGCTCTGGAAATAGGTTAGTTTATTACAGATAAAAAAACCAACTCATTTCACATTTTCATTATAGTCTTTATACAAATAGGAAGAGGACTAGGTCACAGAAGGCTGGCAGGAATTGTAGCCTGGAAATATGAATTAAATGTTACTATTTAGATTTCTTTTTTTTTCTTTATAGCAGGTTGCTTTGTCTGCTATGCCTTGTAGAGGAGGAGGGTTCAAGAAATATATTTCACTCCTCAAGTGTCCATTAGCTGATAGGGGAATAGCACAGACTCATTTCACTGGTATCTGAAGTGAAAAATTACTAGAGCTTATGAATCACACAATCCAGAAGGTAGCATCAGCTGAGGTGCCAGCTCAGCTATCAGCTGAGTTAGAGAACAAGGAGGAAAGAAGTTTGTTTCTCTGTTTTTTAAATGAGTTTTCAGTAACCAAGAAAAAGTGTCACGTTTGCCTTTTGTGCAAAGGCAGATACTGTTGTCCCATGTCCAACCTGTTGAACAAAAGATCTATTCTGGAAAAAGCAGTTTTCATC